TTGTACAACCCAATGATTAACCCCTTCTTCCCCCTGTACATCCACATCACTCTGTTCCAGCCTTTCCCACTCCTCTTGGATCCATATCTGCTAAACATATGCACACAGAGAGAGAACACATACGTACCCAAGAGAGACTGCCACAGGAATGCCTTACATTAGGAGTTGGGCTGTTAACCAAGAGGTCAGCAGTTTGAATCCACCAGGTGCTCTGTAGGAGGAAGACGTGCTGTCTCCTTGTGGTGGTGGTGGAGGGGTATCATTTACAGTGGCTTTCCCTCTGACTTTCACCACGTGACAGGCGGAAGCATGCAAATACGGTGTATCCTGAGGGGACTGGCTAGCTTTGCCATTCGATCAGGTCTCAATAAAGCAGGTTCAGCAGCATTGGGCCTCACGTTACCAGCCATGAAGGAGAGAATTAGTACATGTCATTTGGGGCCAGGGATTACTGAGCCAGTCGGACTGGGCCCCACCCCAGAATACCAACAGCCGCGGCAGAGAAACAAAGACCTGACATGAGACAGCTGTCCTGGGACTGTGGCCCATGGAGCCAGAGCCCTTGGCCCAAGCTTGGGAGAGGACTGGGGGCGGGGGAGATGCCATCATGAGCGGGACTAACAGAGCTTCAAACCTATATCCTTTCTCTACACCCACGCAGTCTGCATGCTGAGCAAGTAAGCCAAGAAGATGGATGAAGAAGAGTGTGGTCACAGGGTTAGAAGACTCAACAATCCGCGTCATGCAGACGATACAACCTCTGTGTGCACATTATGAAAAGACCTGAAGCACCTGCTGCAGAAGATTCAAGACTACAGCCTTCAATATGGATTACGTCTCAACAACAAGAAAACAAAAATTATCACAACTAGAGCATTAAGCAACATTATGATAAAGCCTGAAGCTGTCAATAATTTAGTTTTACTTGGATTCACAATCAAAACCCATGGTAACAAAAGTCTAGAAATCAAAAGGCTTGTTGCATTGGGGAAATCTAGTATCTAGTACATCTCCAAGGTACTAAAGAACAAGAATGCCCGTGCAAAGACTAGAAGCCAAGGATCTTTCAATTATTTCTCACACATCTCAAAGTTGGACAATGAATAAAGATGGCAGAATAACAGATGCCTCTGGGTTGTGGTTCAGGAGAAGAGTAGTGAACGTCCCAGGGACTGACAAAGGAACATACTAGCCAGCTCTGGAGAAAGCCGTCAGAATGTTCCTTAGAAGCTAGGAGGGAGAGATTGCATCTCACATACTTTGGACATATTACCAAGAGGAGTCAGTCCCTGGTGCCTGAGGCCTCACTGCTGTCTTCATCAGGCAGCACGGAGGAGTCAGTTCCTGGGAGAAGGGAGCTGAGGCTACACTTCTGTTGTCATCAGGTGGCACTGAGACGGCTCTGGCTCATGGAGACCTCATGTCCAGTGAAATTAAACCCTGCCCCATCTGCACGAGCCTCACAACCTCTACTGTGTGTAAGCCCACGGTGCAGTCACTGGGTGAACTCGGATCATTGTAGGTGTTCTCTCTTTACTAAGTATGATGTCCTTCCTCAGGGATGGCCCTTCCGGATAACTGGCCCAAAGTACGAGAGAGAAAATCTCTCCAAACTTCCTTTTAAGGCATCTCACCAGGCAAGTAAAAGAGTGAGCCTTGATTTCACAGCAAATTTGCCACTGAAATGAAAGGAGGGGTGTGAAGTGAACACCAGTGTGCCTTCATGAAAACCTTCTGGCACAGAGCAGAGGTGAAAGGAAACCTAAGGTGAGGGAGCTCTGGAAGGCCCAGTAACAGTCCCTCTAATACGCCCAAGTCCTGGTCCCCAGAAAGCTGCTCCTCTCCACGGCCAAGTGGAAGTGCCTCTCAGTGGGCCAAACAGCCAGCTTTGATCGTCCAGCGTTTACCTGTCTGGGTCCTTGAAAGTGGATGAGGAGGTCAGACGGAGACTCAGGGGAAGAGGTATAAGACCTGCTATACTGCTGGAGTCACGAGAGAGAAGACAAGGGTCCTTCCCGCATTCTACGGTCGGGGGCTCAGCGTGTGAGACAAGTTCATCAAGCATTTTAGAGCACAATGGGCAAGTCTCAATGAACTCAGTTCCCAAGAACACATGCTGGACTGGCATCGATTTTAAGGAAAAACTCCACTCACTGATGCCCATTTGGAACAGACTCACGGCTGACTCCCTAGACGGGTTTCAGAGGCTGTAAATCACATGAGAGAAGACTGCCCATCTTTCTCCCATGAAGCAGCTAGTAGATTCGAACTCCTGCCTGTCAGTTAGCAGTACAACTCCTTATCCACTACTGGATTATTGTTGTTGTTGCCGTGTACCGTTGAGTCAGAATCAACCCACAGTTGACCCTACAGTGGGTTTTCAGAGGTAGGAAAATGCATGGGAAGAGAATAATCACCTTTCTACCATGAAGCAGCTGGGGGATTCGAACTGCGTATTTTTGGGTTTGCAACCCAGTTCCTTACCACTGGGCCACCATAGCTCCTGTCTTTATCCAGTTGTTGTCAGGTGCTACTGAGTCAAGTACAACTCACAGCAACTGGATGAACAACAGACTTGAACCCCGTTCTATCCCATGCCAGCCCCACAGTCTCTGACACCCTAAAGCCCACCTCAGTAGTCACTGTGTCAATTCCTCTGGTTGAGAGTCTTCCTCTCTTTCAGCAACTCTCCACCTTTCCAAGCATGATATCCCTCTCCAAGGAACAGTCTCTCCTAGCAACACGCCCAAGTATGCGAGATGAAGCTTTATCATTTTTGCCTCTAAAGCCATCAATTCTTCTTATTCATGGTCCAGCTCTCAGATGCATAACAAGTGACTGAAAAGACCATTGTCTGAAACAGACACACCTTAGTTCTCAAACTGACATCATTGCTCCTCAATAATTTGGAGAAGTCCCTGACTTCAGATTTCTAGCACAATATGTCTCCTGGTTTCCTGACTGCTAGTACCAGGGGTGCTGATTGTGGATTCAAGTAAGATGACGTCATTGACAACTTCAATCTTTTCTCCATCTATCATGGTGCTGTCTATGGGTCCAATGGTAAGAAGGTGGGGTTTTTTTTCTTTGGTGTGAGATGCAATCCATATTGAAGGCTGTAGTGTTTGATCTTCTGCAACAAGTGCTTCAAGTCCTCTTCACTTCCACCATGCAAGGCTGTGTCACCTGCATAGCACAGGTTATTGATGAGCCTTCCTCTCATCTTGATGCCACAATATTCTTCTTCATAGAGTGCAGCTTCTTGAGTAATTTGCTCAGCAAACAGAATGAGCAGGTATGGAGAGAGAATACAACCCTGATGCACTCCCTTCTCAATTTTAAACCATGCCGTGCTCCCCTGCTCTGTTCACACAACAGCCTCCTGGTCTAGGTATAGGCTCTGCATGAACACAATTAAGTGCTCTGGAATTCTCATTCTTTTCAATGTCACCCACAACTTGTTATGATCCAGAGAGTCTAATAATGTTTTTGCATAATCAATAAACCATAAATACACATTTTTCTGGTATTCTTTACTTTCAGCCAGGATACATCTGACATCAGGAATGATATCCCTGGTGCCATGGCCTCTTCTAAATCCTGCTTGAACTTCTGGCAGTTCCCTATCTAAGTACTGTTGTAGCTGGTTTTTGAATGATCTTCAGTAGTATTTTTCTTGCATGTGTTGTTTGATAGTTTCCACACTGTATTGGGTCACCTTTCTTGGGCATGGGAACATACATAGCCTTCTTCCAGTCAGTTGGCCAGCCAGCCATCCTCCAGCTTTCCTGGCATAGACGGTGACTGCATCCAGGGCTGCATCTGCTAGCTGAAACATGTCAAATGTTATCCCATCAATTCCTGAAGGCTGATCTTTTGCCAACATCTTCAGTGCAACTTCAATTTCTTCCTTCATTACCAATGACTCCTGCTCACATGGCACTACCTGACATCTGTGTCCGTCAGTTCAGTACAGGGATTCTGTGTAGGCCCATCACCTTCTTTTGAGGCTTTCTGGATCATCCAACATACTCATAGCATCCTTCAATATTACAACTCGTGGCTTAACCACACACAGGAGTTATGACTCGGTATTTCTCATGTACAAGTCATTTACACAGTGCAGGTGGGGAGACCTCCATCACTGCTGATGGCTACTGTCTGGTGAATGTGTTTAACAAAACATCGCAGCCTACTGAGTAAGGTGTAGGCTTATATAAGACAATAGCTGTACCATCAGCAGTGGCAAAGGTCACAGCACGCACCCTGTGTAAATGATTGTACACAACAATCACCAGGTCACACCTCCTGAGCCCCACTCCACGGGGCACTATCCAGGCACTGTGAGCACTGTCCAACTCTCACCACAGTCCCCCAGGAAGGCACCTCCACACCTGTTACGTCAGGTGACATGTCAAGAAGCACAGTGCATGCCCCTAGACCTGCCCTCCCTCCTCTCCATCTGTTTTCTGTGCAGCCTCTGACTTTACACAGCCCCGTATCCTCCCACACACTACACCTTAGCTTGGGGTCCAAAGTGCAGAGAACATGCTCCTCTTACAAAGAGAGGGAGCGTAAAGCGGACAGACACACACCTTGAATTCAGCAATGGTCCATGAACAAGAGGAGACACCTCTGCCTCCCTGCCCAGCACCTTCCAGCCCATCACAGCCATTACCTTGAAGGAGGCACACGTCCTGCAGCAGAGGTGGTATCCCCCTTCCAGCACCTCCACTTCCCCACACAGCAAGTCCATCTAGTCTGTGGGCTCCTGACCTTGAAGGAGGCGTGCTGTTCCATGTACCACTATAGAGCGAGCATCCCTCCACCCAGAGCCTCCACCACCCTGCTCAGCACCTCCTGTCCCTCCAGTCTGCGGGCTCCTGACCTTGAAGGAGGCGTGCTGTTCCATGTACCACTACAGAGCAAGCATCCCTCCACCCAGAGCCTCCACCACCCTGCTCAGCACCTCCTGTCCCTCCAGTCTGCGGGCTCCTGACCTTGAAGGAGGCGTGCTGTTCCATGTGCCGCAGCAGCTGTGGCTTCTGGGCTGCCGTGTAGTCGCACACCGTGCACTTGAACTGTTTCCCTGCAAAGAGGAAAAGCACCAGGTGAGCACAGATAATCACCCCACTGTCCTTGCATGGGACTCGGAGCCAGGCACGACTTGGGGTGCACCTGTCCCTGATGTCTGAGAGGCCAGAATGTAAGTAAGAGTGAGCACACGCGCGCGCACACACACACACACACACACACACAGTCCATCCAAACCCACTATCATCAAGTCAATTCTGGCCCATGTGACCTTACAGGACAGAGCAAAAATGCCCCATAGTGCCTGCTTTCTCCTTCTCCCATAGAGTGATGGCCGGGTGCTTCAACCACTGAGCCACCAGGTGCCTGCTAAGAGAGCTCAACCAGGTGGGAATGCAGAAGAGGCCGGCCCTCCAGCTGGGGAGGGTCCATCAGCAGAGCATCCGCGGGTCTGCAGGGGAGGGGGGCCAGGTGTGTCCAGGGGGCGAAAGGAAAGGGCATCTGGCATCGGGGCATTCAAAGGGAGGACACAGAGGGGTGGTCCCAGGGAGTCAGGGCCCAGGAGCAGCTGGCATTTCCCTGGGGACAGCCAGGAGCTCACCCCGGGGTGCATGGGGCAGTTGCCCTGAGGACCTAGGGTGCTCTTGGGAAGCCAGGAGGCCTTGCACAAGGACGTGCCCCCGGGGAGCACAGGCCTGCACCTGCGATCCCGGGTGTTGAGCGCTCCTTCCTGTCAGAGCTCTGCTGAGAACTCGCACACCACCCCTCCTCACTCTTCCCGCACTGTCCTGTTCCACTCAGGAAGCCTCCGCTGGGTTTCCTGAAGCTATAAACTGCATGAGAGGTGATTGCTCCTTTTCTCCCTAGGAACTGCGGGTGGATTCGAACCTCCAGAGGCAGCGCAGCTCCTCAGGGCTGCTCCACCAGAGCTTCCGCATCCACATTTACAGAACCCTGTCCTACATGTTAACAAGATCCCCATGTGATTCTTGTGCACACACGGCGAGGGCACCGGGGTGTCTACAACAACCTGGGGTCTATTAAAATCACCTGGGAGTCCTGTTAAACTGTAGCCTGAGTCGAGTCGGTGTATCTGGGGGCCGTGCCCTGTCTGGTCCTCCTACCTCGGGAAGGAGCTTATGGGGGGGGTATGAGAGGACACCCAGAAAATGACAGAGGATCAGCAAACACTGCTCTTTAGAGTCGATGGTGTGGTGACACATATGTAAAAGTGGGGCGAGCCGCCATACGTGTTAAGAACATAATTCATAGATATATGGCTGCGCTACCTTTTCTGGACCCTGATTTGCTTCAGTGAAACCTCAATTTGCAAACGTGTGCAACTGCATATAAACACACCCACCTCCCCACCCTGCTTAGGCAGCAGTCAAGGTCAGGTCAAGGACAGCAGCTCACAAAGGTCTGCAGGCAGCCACGGCCAGAGCTGGCTTGATCCGAGCAGGCGGCACACCCGTCCATCCTCTCGGCCTCTGCTCCCCCTGCACCGTCCCTCCAAGCCCCTGGACACTGGCCGTTGGCACCAGCTCACCCAGAGTGTGTCAGCACACTCCTCGAAGCCAGGCCAACGGGCAGCCTCCAGCCCTCACGGAACTGGACACGCGTGACGGCCGAGATGCCTCTGCCCCCGAGTCCCTCGAGCTATCAGCTCTCAGGCCCTGGAGCCCCCCACCACCTCGCTCTCACACACCCCCGCTCACCAGCAGGCCCACACATCTCTTTTCCTTCTGGGTGCCTCCTTGCGCAGAACTGCTTCCCACGGCCTCTGTGAACTGTTAATGCCAAAATTGGCATCTTTTACTTTGGCCCCAAGAGCTGACTCCTGGCTTGACTGGGCACTGAGCTGCCCAAATGTCCTGAAGTGGCCTCACTATCGTCCTCACAGAACAGTGGACATCTCCAGCCTTCTCCTTCAGCTCATCACCCACACGGTGCCCCACACGGTGCGCGGGGGCACGTCCTCCACATGACACTGCCCTCACCTTCACTCACGTTTTTAACACCTCATCTCATCTCCTAACTATTTCTCAGGGCTATGTATTCCTCCCTATGCCTCATACTTCCAAACCGGTTTACACTCTCCTTTCCTAAACACTTGTAAAACTCCTGGACTCTTCATGCAACCCTCCCACCATCCGTCAGTTATCCATCACTCAGCCTTGCATTCAAACACCATCTGTCCGTCTGTCTATCCATCATTAGTCATCCATCCATCCATCCATCCATCCATCCACCACCCACCCCTCCGTCTATTCACCAGCCATCCATCATCTCTCCACGGATCCACACAGCCATACATACACACATACACTGCCCGCCCATCCATCATCGATCAATCTATCCATAGCCCTGCCTCCATCAAGATCATGTAAAGCATAAACAAACACTCCCATGGTCTTCCTGCACAAAATCTGTCAAAAACTCCAACTGGAATAATGTCAAAATTACAGAGCACAGCACACAAAACCCTCCAAGGTCAGAATCAATTACTAACTCTTCCCTCCACCCCGCCTGACTCCCTCTACAGCGTATCTTCCCTAATGATAGATTGTGGAATATGTAAGTCCTTGAGCTCTGGAAACACTGCCGGATGTCGTTGCCATCTAAGAGCCCAGGCTTTCATGAACAACTCGTGCCCTTCTGCCCTCTAAGAGCCATAGGGGTACTGTGGTTAAATCACCCGGCTGCTAACGGAAAGATGAGTGGTTCAAAGCTATGAGAGAAAGCTGTGGCAATCAGCTTCCGAAAAGACTCCCACCTTGGAATGCCCACGGGCAGGTCTACTCTGTCCTGCAGGGTTGCAATGGGTCAGAATCGACTCGATGACCGTGAGGTGTGTTAGGCCTTTTGGTTCTTCACTTAACTAACTACTCAAACTAAGCTTCTTCTCCAGGACTGGGATGAAGCCAGCTCCTCTTGGCGCTGCCCCCATACTGGCACACGCTTCCGCCACTGCCCCAACTACACAACACTGTAACTACCGGTCCCCAAGGTTGGGCTGCCAACAACTGCCCGTGACCAGGGGCTGTGCCTAACCCATCCAGTGGCCCCAGAGCCTGACATCTGTCATCATGGAATCAACAGGAAGTCTTGTTCATCTTCACAAGAACACCAAACATGCTAACCCCGTAGTATACCTCTATCCCTCTAGGGGGACGAACAAATCCCAGTTCTAGATTTCAGGAATTATACAAGACCAAAATGTGGGGGAAATTACTCACTTCTACGCAGTCAGGGACCGAGCCAAATTGCTGAGGAGCAATGATGTTAGTGTGAGGACTAAGGTACACCTGATTGAGACTACGGGCTTGTCAATCACTTGCTATGCTGCCGAGAGCTGGACCATGAATAGAAGAAGAACTGAAGTCATTGGGCTGTGGTGCTGGAGAAGAGCAGTGAGCACCTCATGGACAGCCAAACGAAAAAACAGGTATGTCCTGGCGAAGGTGCAGCCAGCGTGCTTCTTAGAGACAAAGATGATCAAGCTGTATCTCTCATACTTTGGGCATGTTGCCAGGAGAGGCTACTGCTTGGAAAGGCTATTGCTTGGGAAGGTGGAGGGTCATGAAAGAGAGGAAGACGCTTGACCAGGTGGGTTGACATGGTGACTTCTGCGATGAGCCTGAGTGTGTCTTAGATTACGAGGATGACTCGGGACAGGACAGAGCTCAGATCTGTTGTTCACTGGGTCACTATGAGTTATACTTCACTCGGTGGCTCCTAGCCCCAACATGACAGGCAATACGTGAAATTTTTCAAAGATCGTTCTTTCTTTCCTCAGTACAGTAGCATCCTTTTCCAAACGGAAGGCCCAAGACACTCCACGCCTTCAGTGGTGTCACAGGAGCACACACATCTCCCCTCAGAGGGACACTAGCCTCCACTGGACTGAGCCCAACAGCCTGAACTACAAGGAGTTGGGGTTCTCCTCCTCCAGGGAAGTGGGGAGAGCCAAAGGAACCCTATCCAAGCTGGTATTTTGTTACTGAGGGTGAGGCCATTTGAATAAAAAAAAATAAGCAATTAAGAGCTCCAAAGGAAACCTGAAATGAACAAATGGAATTGCCTCATTTTAGGTGAAGATTTAGCCCTTACAGATACACCATGGAGGCTCAGCAAGAGACAAGGAGGCCCTAACAGCCACTCCACCCCAGGCATCAGAGCCCAGGCTATAAATATTAGAAATGTTTGCCCCAACCAATGCAGTAGCCATAGCACGGGCCTGGGAGAGCACCTGACATCACTGCTGCTGCCTAATTAGAACAAAGGACACTCTTCATGACTAATCAGGAAAGAACAGTGCATCCAGGGATGATTGGATTGCTTCCCATCAAGACTCCTGAGAATCACAGGACGAGGGAATGAAAGCATCTCGAGTTTATCCCAGGTTAGCGTGACCTCAGCGGGCTGGCGGAGGGCGGGTCACAGGCTGGCTCTCCACGTGGCCCAGGGAAGTCACAGGATCCACAAAGGAAAAGAGGGTGGGCTGCACACTTTCTCACATGTCATCCCTGAAGTTATGAAGTGAATGGGCTGAACCATGGCCTCAGTGAGGGACGGGGCTCTCTGCTGTGTTAACGGGGGGCTACATCAGTGAGGGGTGAGCCCTGCACCCACTCCTCTGTGAGAAATGAAGCCTGGGAAGGAGACAGAGAAGAAGCACAAGCTGGGTAAGCCAGATGCCACGCGGAGATGGCCAAGGAACGCCGGCATGAGCGCCGGAGAAGCTGAGATAAGGAGGCCCCTCCAGAGTGGATCGGGGAGGCTTCGCCCAGAGCCCGTGCCCTGATTCGGGACCTACAGCCTCAGCTCTGAGGAAGTAAAGTTCTTCCCTGAGCTGCCCACCCAGGGCCTTAGTGTTACAGCCGCACATGGAACCTGAGACGCCTGCTCGCTCTGACAGCCACCTGTGCGGCTGTCAACCAGCAGGAGTCAGCAGGTACGGCCTCACCTTGACCTTCACACCTAGGGGCCGAGGGCTGCTCCCTTGATGGGAGAGGAGAGGAGCCCAAAATAGGACTAACCCATCCAGGTTAT